ACCTGAATGATCATGTCAGTACGAAGACTGCTTCACAGCTTAGTTTTTTAACTTGCACACATTTCAGAACAAGGATTAAATCTCCTCTTCTTACGACTATTTAAAGCCTAATTTAGTGGCTCAGGAAATATGCAATCCATTCATGTGAGGCAGGGCTGTTAACCTAAACTGGGCAAAAGATGTGAGTGGGTTACAAACACATGAAGAAGGGGATAGTCTATAGGATCCTGTTACTCAGTTTCTGTAATTAAAAGAGACATTCACAGAGCAGTCTGTAGCCCTGCTGAGCCAAAGATAGCTGATCTGAGTGTGGAAAATTCTCACAACAGTAAGACACCTACCTTAACCCTGCGATTAATGTTGAGAAACTGGCAAGTCTTGTCATAAAGCTCTTCCAGTTTTTCTCTGTCCCAGTAGAAGTCAGGTGTTATTAGCAGGTCTGAACTCAGATTTATACGGTGTCTAAAAAGAATGGGTACTACAGTAGTTCAAATGTCCTTCTGGTGAATATAGGAGCAAATATTTACATAGCAGTTAAAAGAAACAAGAAAATTTTCCCATAATTTTAAGTAAAATAGGAAAAGAATCTCCTTTCATAATAAAAATACAATTGTAGTGATTGTTTAAAAACACAATTGTAGTGATTGACTGTAACAGTTTTGAGTACAAATTACTCTTGCCTTATGGCAAGACTGCCTCCTCAACTTGTCACCTTCCTTAACTTTTGATATCTGCAGAGAAGTCCTTGACTATGCCAGTAGCTTGCTGAAGAAGGACATGAATTAAAATTACTGAGGAGCTTCTTAACAGCTTGTTTGTAGCTCAGAAAGTGTGACCGGTGCTACATGCTGGCTGGTGAGCACAACACACCTTTCAGAACCAGGCTACTGTCAACATTATAAAGGCTAAGAGCTAAAATCTGCCACCCTCAACCTACTGCTCACAGAAATCTTTGGACACTTAGAACATCATTGTTCATTATGGAACAGTCCTTCAAGTAGGGATATAAAATCCAGTGTTTAAAATAGGAAATGGATTTTAATTTACCTCTGATACCTTCACTGATTTTGAGTTTTTTGTAAAAGAGTGTGTAATGCTCTGTATTCCCAATGGCCAAGTATCACTTGAGAGGGAAAAAACCAACCCATTAAATTTTTACAACGTAGCAATGGTTTCTGAGTAAATCAAGGGAAGAACAGAACTCACAGAAAAGTTTTCCTAACTGTAGGCCCTAGTTAACAGTTCTGCCTAGGCCTGTGCTTCCCCCGGTATCCTTTGCACACTCTAGTATCTAATATAATTATTGGTAATGAGACATGTGTTGCTGGGCCCAGGGAGGAAAAGGGTGTGGAATTTGGCCATTTACAGTATGCTGCTTAATGCCTGTCTAGCTGAGATGGCAGTGGTGAGATGACGAGCCACTGGGTCCTCTGACTAACGTAACAGCACACACAGTCGCCAGCCAAAAGAAGGCTGAAGGAATTCCCCTCGCCCCACCCCGCTGTGTTTAGTGTGTATTTCTGGTCTTTGTTCATACATAACTTAATTTTTAAGTTCTGTGTAATACAATGTATTGGATGTAACAAAAAAACCCCAAACAAACAAGTTACCTTAATGCAAAGAGTTCTCCAATTTTCTGCATTACATCTGCATGGGACAGTTTCACCTTCCTTCGTGACTTCAGTATCTGCAAAGTAACAAGCCTTTCACTGCTTGGTCAAGTGACCCGTTAAGAAGTCTCGAGTTCTACAGCCTGAAGTATGTATAGGAGTTAAAATCTGAATGCACATCATACTTAATATGTGAGTTTTGTTTGCTTAGTGCCTTGCTTATCTAGCTTTGTAAGTATAACCATGCAACTGTTCATCCAGGTTTTTCAATAAATCACCATCAGTATCAATACAAAATCCTGGAGCATTTTCTATGAATGATTTCCTGAACAAGGGACCATTTGGTTTTTCTTCCTCCTGTTGTTATTTTTAAGTCATCACAGTGTTCTTTTACCTTGCCACTTGCTTAGACTTTTTATAGGCTTTTTCCTTACAACAAACAATGTATTACCATTTATTTTCTTCATAAAAAAATAAAAACGAAAACGATTATTTCCCTTTCAAAGCCTACAAATTTCAGTTTTATATGCAGCATCATATGGACTTAAGTCTCATGAAAAACTGTGGTTTAAGTAATTCACTCAAACTCTTCATTATATTCAAGTTTAAGCACGTTACTTTCAGCCCGAGGTGCCACACACTGCGTTTGACCAGGTTTCTAAATGCTGCTTGTCCTGTTACACCTACACGTGCAACAGTGGCACAACATGGGCAACATTACTCCAATGCAGAACCCCACCCCCAACCCTCTAAAGACTGATGACTTCTTGTCCCACCACTTTGCAGCTGTTCTGAGCTTCTCTATGTTGACGGCTTTACCATCAAACGTGTTACACGTTCAATTGCTTTTTCCATATCCTCAGCTCCCTCTGGACTGATCTTTTAGAAAGCAAAGGAGGAAAGGAGGGGAGAGGCACAAGCAAGACCTCACCTCAGGAATTGACTGGATAGATTCCACAAAGTTATCCAATAATGATTCCCAAATAGCCAGCTTTACTGCAACACAGAGGTGACAAAGCAGAACACTGTGAGAGGTATATATGCTTTCAAATAACCCTAACTTTAAATCTGCCAACATGCTGCTTCAAGACCCCTTGACCCAGTGTCCGTACATCTACGGACAAATCTGCGTTGGGCACTGACAGCTCTGCCTGCAGAACCACCCCGAGTGCAGCTCTCTTCTCCAAGTGATCAGCTCAGATCCTGGAGGAGTTTCTGCTTCACCTCACAAGCTGTGTGTTTAAGTGCTCTACCGTATCTGTGAAGCCTTTGCAAACTACATTCCAATGAGTCTGGTGATAATAAGCCGTGCTGGAGTCAGGCTGACTTCATGTGGTGCCACTCAAGAGTCTCCACTGCATTTCCACTGTCCTGTCCAGAGCTCTCATTCTCCATTTGTCCAGTACTTGATGCAGCATGCTCAAGCCATGGAGAGTTATCTGGTATAGACACACCACCTGTACTTGTTGAAGCTAAGTTAAAACTTAAGCAATCTCCCATTTTGTTTTTAGGTGAATGTACTGTTCACTGAAGATAAAACTTCTCTCTCAGCACAGGCAATAGCAACACAAATCCTACTATGCCTCAGCTTGAGCCTGGGAAGATGTTTCTACAGGAATATGGTATAACTTGGGCCTTTGTTCTTTAGTTCACAGATTCCCAGGCAAGAATGAAGTAGTAACAGATAAAAAAATTAACCCTATTCACTCAGAAAAAATTATCAGGGAAGATTTAATTGTCAAAATGAACTTTTTAGTGGTAGTAATTGGTAGTTACCATCTAGTCAGGACACTTGTAGTAAATCCAATGCTGAGCATTTTTCACACTCATCTTTTGAATACAGAGGCCTAATCGAAGACAGTGATTTAAATGTCATTTAATTTAGCCTCTGAAAAAAAGCCAATAGGCATTTCAGCCATCACTGACTATTTGACAGAGATTGGTTTTTGCTGTGGCATAAATTTGACTTGGACTAGACTTTCATTCTTTATTTTTATTGAGCACTATTGAACTGTTTTCCTTTATGATGTGCATGCCTCACACTAACATAAATTGCTACCAATTATCTCCTGGGAATAAATCCCTTTCTCCATTTTACGTGGCACCACTCTTCCATGCAGTGGCTTTATGGACAGGAAAACTATGGAGAATTAAAGGATTTTTTTATCTCAATAGCTCTTCCTTTGACAGTTGAGAACCATTTAGTTACACTGTACTTCTTGATCAACTGCTGTATCACTTCAAAGACATACTTTGTTTCTTGGTGTCCCTTCTATTTAAAGGTGCACTTCCCCAAATACTACAGGAATACTGTAAATTACCCTAAAAGCATTAGGGGTAGACAGACCAGATTTCCTTTAAAGGTCATTTCAAGGACAATCTTACTACTGCTCACTTCTACTCCCCCTTCCTACCTTATTTGAGATCTGAAGCAACCGAGATGTGTACTTCCTTAAGCAGCAGCACCACTGCTGAGCCCGACTTCTTCCCAGTGCCTCCTGCTGCCTCTGGACAGAAGTACCACCTATGGCATGCAGCCATGGCTAATGAGCCTGGAAAACATTATCTGTGACTCTGGTCCACACCTTTGCTAGTGGTACACCTCCCCAGCTGAGAATCACTTCTTTAGCTGTCATCTAGCTTTTTTCTATTAGAAGAAATGATGTCAGGATGGATTACGTAAGATTACTGACAGGTTTCTAAATACTGGACTCTACACTCACTGCTATCCTAGAATAGTTCTCAAGGGTGGGGAACAGGATGCTCAATACAATGTGCACCTTTTGCAAAGTATGTTTCTTAATGTGCTTTGTTCATCTTTAAGATGATTGACATTGAATGAAATAATTCCATTTTACAGAAAAGAGGGCAAAAGCTTTGAAAACTAATCCTCCCACTGAAGTACAATCAATCTTTAAACAGTTTCCTTAAACCAGACACCAAGTCTTCTCCAACTTGTCACTGTACAAGTCCCACTTACAATGATATTTCACAAAATCTGTAGTATAGGCTGATATTACAAATGTTAACTCACCAGAAAGACAAAGAGCATTTGAAAAGGCAAATTTCTGCAGAACAACTTCATCACTATCCAGCTCAGAATTTAACAAGATTTCTCCTTTATGAAGCTTTGACTGACCCCTGTTAAAACAGGATTGAAGCATCTTCATTGATTAAGGCATTAACAAAGACACATTTAAAGAACAACCAACAGTGCAAGAAAGGTTGGTTGGTTATTTACATAAAGCATGCCGTATCTATATGGGCATCATCCCCATCCTTCCGTTTTATTCATGTTCAACCTGACAATAACCAGAACAAATCACTGAAAATTAGTTCCTCGGTCTAAGACTAATATCATGACCAAATATTTTAGGTTTAAATGAAACTGCAGCAAGCTCTGATGGCAACTACATGATTACTAGATACACACAGATAATTCAGAGTAATCAGGCTGCCGGCCTCTCTCCTGCTCTCTCTCTCCTATATTATCTTTCTGGTTTTGTTTTCTTTTCCTTCTATCACTTTTACCAACATCACTCCCTCCCTCCTATGATGTTACTTTCCCTGAAACCTCTATGACATGGGGGGCCAGCAGCAGAGACCAGGGATCATGAGAGTTGTTCAGTTTATCATGTCAATCTCATTATGAAACTTGCATAAGCACAAGGGAATACATCAGGAATCACAAATTACACAACTGGATAGTACATGCAGTTTTCAAATGGCCAGGAAAGAAAACAAAAATAAAAACCTGTCCTCTTATCAGGTTACCTTAAATAAGCTCAACCTCATTAGCTCAGCACCTAGTGTTATAGTGGTGTCCTCAGTTGTTTTTTGGTGCTGTTGGAAATTACAGATATTTTTAATAATCATTTACATTGAGAAGTATTTCTGTAGAGATCATTTGCTCCCCATGATGAAAAACCATTACTTAACAAGGCCAGACAACTTGCCAAGTTTATTGTTCCTCAGTAATTAAGTTGTAACTTTCCTAGGAAGCGAAGTATGTGCAGAATGAATGAATCTAGAGGGCACTAAGGAAAGCTTATGCAGAAAAGCCTCTTTAAAATCAGATTTGTCTCAATAATGCATTTTTTTTTTCTATGAGGTACACAGTTTCTGTTTGGGATTGCTCAAGAACATGTTAAGTTGTGTGGGCACAAAGCTTCATAATTTACAAAATGTAGTGCATAACCGAGTCACAAAGTTTAGCAGGTCAGCAAAATTTGTTAATTTAGCTCTACTGTTTTCTCCTTTCCTTAACTTACTCATTTGAAAAAGAGTAAGGAAAAGTATATTTTTACTAGCTGTTTTTGCTTGAGTTTGTTTTAGATGTCTATTAGCTTTTATATCAAGAATGCCTGAAGATACTTACTCTCCTATTCTATAGTTCATCTCCTCATTCTCCCAATGGACTAGTGCAACTTCGTACGGCTGAATTTCATGCTGTTCTAGCACTCGCATGATATTTTTCATCTAAGAAAAAGACAATTGCACACACAGGAACAGTTACCACACAGGACACTATCACTCTACAAAGATCTAGCGTATAATAGGTCGAGAGGAATGCAACTTTCATGCTGAAGTTAATTTAAATAACAATGAACAGGTGTGCTAAGTAATGAAGTGATTATTAACACAGTATACTTCTGAAGCTATCTGTAGCTGTGTGGAAGAATTTGTGGCTATAAACAACTGCAAGGAATCTGCAGACTACAATGTCATTTAATGTCTGCATATATGTGGTGGTTAGTACTTTTATCAATGTTCTTCTCATAACAAGTCTTACACTGAAACTAAAACACAGCTATTCTAACTACTAAGAAGAAAATTAACTCTATCCTAGCAAAAACCAGGACAGTGTATAAAACAGGGTAAGGATTAACCACAGCAGCAGTAAAGGCAATGCAGACGTATTCAGCATTTTAACAACGAGCTGTACAAGACTTTGGCAGATGTCTCGAGTGTGGGAATGAGTCTTTAGGATAAGCACGTAAGGTGGCTGTTTCTGACAAAATTACTAGTTTGCTGCTAAAATTAATAGTTTTGTTTCAGCTACTAGAGGTTGGGTTGTATTCCAGAAATCCTCTACCACTACAGAAATCTGTAGAAGTGATTTCAGCTGCCCACATTCATCCTTGTAAACAGTTACATGTGCAATTTTACTTGTGGAAGTAATCTCATTGTCATTTTATTATCAAGCACACTAAAACCTGATGCAGAAAGAGCCCTTTTCTCTCACAAAACTTTCTCCTCTGACATCTGACTTAGAATCCATCATCCTTGTTCCTTTCTATGCACTACAAGGCTCCCCTCATAAAAATCATCCTGCAATTAGAACAAATTCTGAACTAAAAAAAGCAGTTGCATACAGGCTTTTAAAAGGCATTTAGCTACACAACAGCCAATTAAAAAAAAAAAAACCAAACCCACAATAAACTTTTGATGCCTAGATTCTTTAAAGAGGTGAATCTTCTACTAAGTCATATTTAAAACACTCTCTTCAAAATTATAGATAATAGTTAATCTTTTAGTGCAATACTCTATGCTAGCAAATTGTTCATGAAGCATATTCTCCAGGTTATGTACTCTAAAAAATTCTGTTGAATTACCTGCAAGAAGGATTTTCTTTGCAGTGCTACCTTTCTTCATTGCTTTCAAGAATTTTGGTGACACTATGTAAGACGTGGTAACATTTTTCACTAAAAAACCCCCAACCCTACAGCTACAACTGCTTGTTTTATAATCTTGAATTTAATATTAGCTAGTATTTGCCATATATTCCAAGAATCGTGGCAAAAAAAGAGTATGAAAATTATTTTCATTTTTTAAGCAAGGAAGCCTCTGCAGTTAGGCCAACCAGCTCTGCCAACCAGCTCTGCTGTGTCCCGGGACAGTTCAGCAATGCAAACCCCGCCAAGACAATGCCAGGGTTAACAGCCATTCCACAAGGTAGCTTGCCAGATGTCAAAAGTGTGTTCACTTGTTTCCAGGTGCTGTAGCTGGCTTCATGAAGTCATTACTAATACAGTAGCAATTACGCTGTTAATAGACTAACAGTCCCTTCCAGAACTACAACCAGCTCAGGCTTCCCAGGGCCAGTACAGAGCGAGACTGAACAGAGCTTTACAGCCCGTAACCGACTCTGTGAAATTCAGGTCTCACAATATGTGTGCTTCCAAAGTTCTTCCACTGCTCTGGACAACGAGAAACTGTATTTCAGTGGCAGCTTTCTTTTACCTAGTCAGAGCAATACAAAGGCTTCCACTAACTGATGTGGATTTCTTCTAGGCCTAGCCTAATGTTATAGAAGGGACTATCTGTGACACTTTACATTTAATGAGATGTTCTGGGTTCATGAAATGCAAACTCTTGCTATTAAAGGCAATCACATCACAGAATTTCCGTTTAAAAACCAGATGAAACTCCACCTCAAAGCTAGGTTTGCTTTTTACCACTGCTATTTTTGGTGGGGAAGCTGTTGCACAACCTCCCTACTCATGTATTTGGAAAGAGTATTTTACATTTTAAATTTCTATTCATGATCAGTCTGTAGTTATTACTTCTTCTGTTAAGTGTCCGTTAGCTTAAAATAGTTTTTCCTTCTCCTAATAGTCATTCTGGAATACTTTTTAAAAGCAATTTTATCCATTCACAGTGATTCTGTGCATTCTGTTTTACTCAATTACTTTCAGTTTCTGTTTCAGAGAATAGTTTGGTGGTTTTTTTGGTTGGTTTTTTTTTGTTTCCGTTCATTAAAGTGTGTGCATAAAAATACCTCCTGTATTTGAGCAAGCTGTTTGGAAGTTAAAACTTTGACTATGATTTCAACAAGCAGAAAGAGGCAGCTTTCTTCCTCTTTTATAAATAAAGCTAGCAAGGGACTAACTAAAGTTACTAATACTGACAAGAAAAACCTGATAGCAAGTTTTCAAAGGTACTTCAGCACGTACAACAAAATGAGATTTTTCAGAGTACTCCAGTGGGTAACGGTGCCTGACTCAAAAATCAACAGGAGTTAAGTCAGCTCGTCTTCAGTAATGCCTGTGAGTCAGTAGCGCAGTTACAGCCATAGCATCCTAAGTGTGCTACAGGCAAGGTTTGAAGGGAGAACTAGTATCTTTTTGTAGGCCAGCTGATATACTGAAACCCCCCAAAACAGACAGGAAATCAGGAACATTTCAGGTCTGAAACAGAAAAAGCGAACTTGAATCCAGAAATTGTTCACATCTGGAAACAACTGCTCTGTGTTTTCATTTACCTTAATGAAAATCCTCCTGTGAACTTGCTGTGCATCTCACTATGATCTATTTAATACACCATTTAATTTCACATACTCTGCCTACAGATAAAGGCTGATACTTTTTGTATCTAGAATCCTGTTTTATTTAACCACAGTAATAAAAGTCAATATATTAAAAAATAATTATATAAATACATTCATGCCCTCTTGGCCAGCAAAGAGCACTGTATTATCATCAGGGCATGTCATTTCAACATCAATATATTTTAACAATTATACCAACCAATAAAAAACTTCTTTTAGGAAAATAGCTAACTGGCAGAAACACAAAACAAAATTTAAAAGTTGCTTACAAATTTTGCCTCTTTCAAAGTTATCCAAAAGTAAGTTTTGAACAGTTTTTACTTAAATGGCTCTAGAATGAGCATTTTCTTCTAACATATTTTCTGTTACATTAGTGCCATTCAAACAGCCATTCACAGGGTGATTTTTTTGATCTACTTCTTCAGGATGTCAAGCTACATGGATTTTGTTTTTGTCAATGTCACTAGATTAAGGTTTCAGATTTTTGGCCTTAAGTAGAAGATGGTACCCACTTTGTATCTTACACATATATCTGCTAATTTTGTGCAGGAAGTCAAGTTTCAAAGGTGATATATCAGCAACCCACTCACTTGAGGGCAGCAGCAGGCAAGCACCTGCACTCGTTAGGAGAAGAATCAGTCCTTTTCCTTCATGGGGAGATCCAAGCACCCAAACCAGGCCCAAGCATGCTGGACTTTGCGGGACTGACAAAACATCTGCTTATGAAGTTTTAACAAATGGTTTTGCTTTACTTACACTTTTATCTTCCACATTCCAAAACACAACAGCCCCTTCCCTGTGAATTCAAGGAAAAACTGAGGTGTAATTACACTGTTTAACATGTATTTCAATGCAATGCTCAAACTGTACAGTGGCAATTTTTGTCATCGTGAATACAGAAACTTAATGCTATCTTCACAAAACCTACATAATAGTCGCCTTTTAACCACATTTTAATTAAACACCACAAGAACATAAGTTATTTTTTAATCATTTAAATATATATTTTTAAAAAATCATTCTGATTGGACAGGTATTCCTTGAGTTTCATGAGGTAATATGATGCAATGATCTAGCAAGCTGCACTACTTCTTTCACATCGTTGCTATTAATAAAACACTGGTTTGGGCACAATCTATAACTTACCTGAAGAAAAAAATCATGCCAGAATCATCTTCTTTTGCAGATTTCTCAGTACCAATCACCAAAACGTTTGCAGCATCTAGTTTCAAATAAATGAAAAAAATGAAGAATTATTCAAGCTTCTAAACATGTCAGCTATAAGCATATAATTTCAGTTTAACAGTTACATGCTAACACGTCAGTCAGTACCGTATTTTATCTTTCTGATGGAAATGCTTGCCAGGAAACAACTACAACATCAATCTACACTGCTTCTCTCAAGTGTCACACCCTACACAGTCTTGGCTGCTATGTTGAACTTCACTGGAATTTCCAGTTAATGAAATGACAAAAGACTTGAGGGAATACTGATGAAGGGCATGGTAAATAACCAGGAACAGAATGCATAAGTGGACGCACAATGTGAATGAACTATGTAAGTCTGCCCACTTGCAGAGAAATTACCATTCAAATCTGCTTGCCCAGAAGATCTTTCTTCTATGTAGTAAGGGACTAATCTGCACTCAAATTTTGCTGACTTTGCTTTCGTAGTCAGAAACTTGAAAAAGCATGCCCCCAAGACAGGAGAGGGGAGACATCTGCATTCCCCTTCAGATCAGAAGCGTGCTTTTGAAACAAACCTTCCAGCCACCCTCATTTACCACACTTCTCATGTGCACTGCAGAACAGTGTCAAGAGTACATAAACTGGGTTTGGTTGTTTTGAGTTTTTTTTTGCATTAAATTAAACTGAAAGAGTATCTCCAAAAAGGCGCCTGTGATACTCCAACTGCTAATGGGCAATTGTTACAAAGGACCAGACCTGAGCTGGTGTAAGCAGAATGCCCCAAAACTCATAAAATGTGGATGCTGGGTTCTCAAAACAGATTTTCATTTCTTTCCTTACAGGTTTGCTCCACTGTACTGCTCGCTAATGTACAACAAGTTTTAGAAGTCCTGATGTGGTTTTGACAAAAAACGTTAGTTTCCAGCATGACTCATTTTGTTGCAGAATTAGTGGAAGCTAGACCAGCAGAAGCCCCTACCTCTATTATCAAGTGAGACTGCATAAAGAGGAGTTTGCAGGGCCTAACACCCAAGCCTCAAAAAGTTCAGCCCCTTTGCATAAAGATCACAAGTCGAGGGCCGAGGCATCGTGTTCAGCCCGTGCACCAATTCCACCCTCTGCTTTACTGCTCAGCCACAGAAGCCGCCAGACTAAGGCAGCGGAGGGAGATGATTAAGGTATTGGATACACTTCTGCCAATACCTGAACCGAGACCACACAGCTGGTCTGTATGAACTCTTTTTAAAGGCTTTGCTTTCACTTGCTGTTCCAATTCTGAAACACATGATTTGATGAATCACTAGAGCAATTTTTGAGTGTGAAGTATGAGTTCACCACGGGAGAAACATTTGTCTACATTTTCTCATTTGCCTTTTCAAATATCACCTTTATCTTTATTTATCCACTCCAGCCAAAACATACACAACTGAAGATAATTGGGGCCATTATAAGTGGAGGTACAGGATCTGCCTCTAAAATGTTTTAGAAGAGGTCAAAACCAAGAATAATGCTTAGGAAGAACACCACAAAGCAAGAAATCCACACAGTAATTGCTGATTTAGATTTCCATGTGCTAATATTTTTCCGATTTTCCAAGATTCAATGTTTGAGTTGGTAACCAACCACTGCTCCACGCACAAGCCAACCACCACAAAACATCACATCTGCTGGCACAATCCAGCATCCTGTCATCACTACTTCCTCCAAACTTTTGATAAACAGAGTATCTAAGTGAGGAGTAAAAAACACACCACGAAGAAACTAAAGACCTGGCAAAACCCACACTCCCAGGGCAAAATACCAGCAACAGCAACATTTGCCTTACCATAATTCATTCATGTTGGGGATTGTACAAAGTTTCTATGGCAAAGCTGTGAAACCAGCGTTGGTTTTAATACCAAGAAACTACAAAAGAACACGAAGCCTGTACTCTACAGCACCTTGTCTTTCCATGTTCATCTTTCTGAACAAGATGATCATTAGTAAAACTTGTGTTTAAAAGAGACCTGCTGGAGTACTGTTGCACTTGGATTATAAAGTGTTTGAGAGGCAGACAGATATTGGATAACCTCTACTGAAATGCCCACAAACATTATCTGTCATTCTTAGCTTCATATAATCTGTTCATTGAAAGGAAAAAAAAAAAAAAGCCCTCTCCTGCCAACATATGAACATCACAGCTGTTCTAGGGCATAAGGCTCCTTCAGCTATAAAAAGCTCCATTTGTTTTTTTTTCCTTGTAGTATACTTCAGCTATTTCCAAGCCACACTTTCCCAAGTCTTCAGAGACACTTTGTATGGAAACCAAACCAATTATTTTGCTGAAGCTTAAGTGAAGTATTCAATGATTGCTAGGATATATTTGGCACAACAACAACAACAACAAAAATGTATCAACTGTATTCTCTTTACTAGAACTAAGCATTTATATGTATATCTCTTTCATTTCACTTAGTCAGCAAGATTCTCTCTTGCATGCCTTCCTCTCCAACCCTCAGTGATACACATTAATAGAAGTGTGGATATGGAAAGACGATGCAACATTTCAAATTACAAAACTGTTTTGACAGTTGAAGCATTATTGTATCATGTTACTGAAAGATTAATTAATTGTAATTTTTTCAGTTAGCAAACTTCTATAGAAATTCTTTGTATCAGAAAATTTCCAAATTTATTTTTCCTAATTTTTCAATATTTTTAGTGTAACTGTTATTTTGTGAAAAACTGTCATAGGGTAACAACAGCAAGGGCTGGTTATATTGCTGTTCTGAGAGGTTCAGTTGTAGGTTTTGTTAAGCAAGTGGAATTTTTAAGCAAAACAGTATTTTTATAGGCAGTATGATATATTCCAAGTTATTACTAGAATAAGAATACATGAGTTATAAAAATTATATATCTCACCCATATTTCATTTCCCAAGGTATAACATAGCTTTTAATACGTTTCAAAAATCTACCTCTAGGCAAACTTGTTATTTCAACATATCCATGTGAAGTCAGGTCATGACACAGATTACCAAGATGATATTCATCTGCTGTTGCAAAGGCTGTGCACTGCATCAGATTCTGCGCCAAAGGAATAAAGATCTGAGTTAGGG